AATAAAATAAAATAAACTGTGAAAAAAAGATCATTCTTAAGCATATTTAGATTACTTTGAACCCAGTTTCCTAGCTGCATTTTTAAATAACTACGAGTCTCTCATCAATTAGTCGTCAAATAAAAATTAAAGTATTTTTATCACCATAAGCTTAGTATATAAAACTACCTATGAAAATGCACATCTGTTGTACAAATCTGCGGGCATAAGATGTAACCCATCAAAATTCATATACCTAATAACAAATGCACGCCTGGGTCGTTTCGATACTAATTATCGCCAACCGCAGACCTTAAAACTCGCCAGAGGTGCCAAATCGAAATGAAACAATTTTTCCAAAGAGTTATGTCTTGAAATAATAATGAAGTTGGAAAGATGCTGATGAGAGGAACCGGTTCTATCAGGTATTTGTGGACGATGGCATCTTATTGGCGGAAACCGGAATCCTTAGGTCCTTCTTAAGAAGGAAAAAACCGAGAGCCTCTTTTAATTGGGGGAAAGTCATCTTTCCCCGCAAACGTACTGCTCCAGAGGTTCCGTGGGTTTTGGAGGTAAGTTTCCCGTATCTCAATTCTTGTATCGGACATCTAGTTCAAATGTCCAGTGTTAAAAGTGGTCAAGTCTGTGATAATCTGATTTAAGAGAAGTGTTAAATATTATGCTTGCATGGTGTTAGATAATTCATATATACATCAAATTGCATGATGTCTTTTGAATTTTATGTATTGATGAAATTAAGAGTGTTTGAAATTAAAGTTTCTTTAAACCCCTTATGTTACATCTCAATAAGGTAAAGATTTAGTTTGAAGCTCACATTTTCAAAGTGCTAGTTTATATTAATAAATATAGTACAGTTTTTTTTTCTCAAAAAGATTTGGAATGATTGAAATTAAAGATAGTTCTTCACACACAGACGGATTTTTATTTAAATTTGAAACATTTATGTCGTCACTTGCAGAAATCAGGATCGATTTAAAGTGTATAGTTTTGAGTAAAATTTCTTAATAAGATGTGTCTCTCAATGATAATAAATTTAATTTGATTAAAAAAGGACATCAGTTTTTTTTATTTCATACGATATAACTAAGAAATAACTATTTAATTTCTTTCTTTTATAACCTTGTGCGATAATTTACAGTTTTATTATCCATTATACAGAGTACTGCACCGCAATATATCTTATCTGTAATAAAAAATACATTCTTGCATGGATTTATCTTTAAGGTAGAAGATTCTAACTATTGTTTATATATTAATTGTTATGAGTTGTGGAAAAAGTACATTTAATCTCAGTATTATATATTTATTGTTATAATTTTTTTACATAATTGTGGAATGTAAATATTTCGCAAACTTTTTAATCTCAAGTCATTGTTAGGAAGAGGTTAACATAAGATTTGTTGCAAATCCTCTTTATGCAAACAATTCCTTTCCACTTGTGTATGGGAACTATAAAACAGTTAAACTTTGAAATTCAGAAAATAATATATAAATAATGCTTTTCATATCAAAATTATTTAACTTATTATAGAATTGGGAGGGAAATACAATTTTATATATTTATAACGTAAATTGAATTATATTTAGAAATTAATTAAACAGCTATGCAAAAACTATTCCATTAATTGCTTTGTAACTTTTATAACATTTCATTTGTACTAATTACACTTAACACTTAGCTAAATGTTTCTGTCAATCAAGTGAGATAAGAAACAACACAACTATATTATTCGATCGTTAAATGTCTATTTAAAGTGCATAGTAATATTATTACGTAAATTTTTGAAATAAATGGATAAACAGCTAAAAGCAAGGTGTGTCAATAATATTACAATTAATAAATAGTGTTTATACTGCGAAATTTAAGAAACGTAAAACACTAAGAGTTTTAACATTTTAACAATGCACATCTATTTCATTCAGTAAGACATTTCAGCATATTTATGTGTTTCTTAAATATTTACTTTAATTCATTTTAGCGTCATAATCATAAGTCCAAAATTTTCCAAAAAAAAACAAACTTTTGTTTATAAAGGGCGTTTGCTTCTGTATGTATCAAATAAGGGATTTATACACGAGCATCAAATTAAAGGAACGTATGTGTACATTTTAAAATCTTTATAGAACGAAAAAATCTCACAAAGTGCTTAGATTCTTCTAATCATAAAATTATTTCTAGGATGAAGTTAAATCTTTGCGAAGAATTATTGTAAGTAATTCATGCATTTAAACCTTGTGACTATTAATGCTACGCAATACCCTACAAATGACAAAAATATAATTTTTTTTTTTTTTTTGCGTTTGCTTGTGGGCCATATGATTGGGACGCTTGCCCCCTCTGATAACCAATTACTTTTTAAGATATTTGAAATTTTATGAGCTTAGAGTTTAGTTTTGGTTTCATTTTAAAGCATTTTTCCTTTCTTAAATTGAATTAATTAAGAATATTTTTGAGCACAATCAACTCTTTTAGTGTAAAATGATCCTCAACTCTCAGTTTTCTGTACTAAAATCATTTGTGTTTTCTTAAAGTAAATATCGGTAAAATTTGTAGTGCCGCAATGAAAATTTAAAAACCTACCAAGGGTACAATACTGACTTTTTAAAAAAAAATAAATTTAAATTAATTTGATTTTTAAACCAAAATATTCCAATAAATTATAATAACTATTTTTTTAAAACATTTAATATTTATACAAAATAAAGGTTATACAGACGTGTAAAAATTTCAAGCAAATTTTAAAGATTGTACATAAAGATACAAAATTATATTAGGTTAAATTACAAATAGTTGTTATTTAACAAGTTTAATTCGAAATTTAACCCTTTAAATTGTCTGTTGTTTTAAATTAATGTTCAGCAGTTAATATAGAGGTACTTGGATAAAAAAATAAGTCTATTAATATAATGTATGATAGCTATAATTTTTTTTACTAATTTTGTAAACATTTTTTTAAAATAATTAAAACAAAATGCAAAATTGAAATAGCAATAAAAACGTTAAAACAATTTACGGATAATATTCATAAAATACAATGTTCTTACTACGTTTGAAAACTAAGTTTGTAGTAATATACGAAACAGCAATAAAGGCAATTTATTCAAAAATTTCTAAGAATATTATGATAATTATTAGTAAGTATATATAATTATAAAAACGACCATTTTGAAATATGATATTGTTCCAACTAAAATAAAGATGATAATGAAGGATAGGTTCAACAAAAGATATGCTTTTGGTAAAAGCAAATTTAAAAAGTGCTGCGCTGCATCAGTTCCGACGGGAGTCGTGTTGTCACTTCCTACTATAAACTGTCTAATTTTATGCATTGAAAGTTGAAAACACGCTGTTTCTATCACAAGAGAACTGGTTTATTATATTCAGAGAATTTTTTTCTCTCTCTTTGTATAAACTTTAGGCTTCCCTTTCAATAAATGTGCATAACTATAATTTCAGTTATCTTTGCAAGATATGTACATATATTCAAGGAAGTAGTGAATCATAAAAAATAAAGAAACACTACTGTGGAAATAAAATATGATTTCAAATAATGATTGTAAAGCAGTAGTGAAAGTTAATAATGCAAGAAAGCAAAGTATCATTGTAAAGAAATTTTCTCGACATTTTCATTGTTTCAATAAGTTATGCATTTATAATTTATTAGAATATTATTATCAATTCCTAGAATATTTCATAAATTTTTATTACATTCATATATATATATAAGGCATTCTTATTAGAAAATGTAATTTTTCATGCGATTGTTTACATAACTAGTTAATTTTGAAGAATCCTTTTGCTGCGAACTAACGTTGAAACATATTAAAAAATTGTTATCCAAAAAGTTAGACTGTTGTAATAGGCACTGATGTAATGAGACCATAAAAAGTTTTTTTTTGGCTAATATTAAATTTTCATAATATACGATGCAGTTTTCTATGGTTGATAAATGTTTATATAGTTAACTGAATTCGGCGTTTATTTATAGAATGAAATTGCAAAATTAAATTAAAGTTGAAGGAAAATTAAACAATAATTGAAGCTAGTAGCAACTTATTTATGTATCTGAATCCTTTAATATTCCCGTTTAACTCCGAAAAATTGAAATGCAATTCAAAACGGATATCAGCAACAATAGGTATACCTCAGGAAATTTAGATAATGGCAGTATAAATTTAAAATATTGAAAATAACTTGTTTTAAAACATTAGTGAATTTGTTTTTCAATATTTCTGAAATCGAGAAATTATCAAAACAATAGTTATATACGTAAATGCTACTTTTAAGTTTTTAACAATTTAAAATTCTTGAATTTCAGCTTTTTAACTGTCATAACCAAACTGTCACAACCGCACAGCACTAGTGCTCCTAAATGTCACGCCCGGGTATTATACAGGGTAATATTTTTTGAGTGAATTTTATTGCTATATACGAATACATATAGGGAGATGTTTAGTTTGATTTCATTTCTTTGTCAAACCCAAATCTATATCGGGAAAAATTAATTTGGGCTCAATTCAACAGATGGTGTTTGATAAGCAGTATTCATGATATTTCCATGACCAATTTTTGACTACAATCTAATTATGGGTGGGGTATATCGCTGTGTCAGGAAATACCTCTTCATCCGACATTCTGAAAATGCCAGAAAAATATTATAAAAGGATATTGTTACATTTGTGTTAGACAAGGAACTAAGGAAAACTGATTTTTACTCTATAGCAAGTAATATAATTTTTTAAAATCAATTCCTACTTCACTCAACAAAGAAAAATTTTATGTTAGTTACTTTTTATTAAATAGTTACAATTAATATAAACCTGTATATACATATGACAGAATCACAATATCAAGTGGCAAAACAGAAAGCGATTTTCCTTGCAATTTTCCAGTTTCCTTTCTCTATAGGGTGTTGGACTATTATTTTTGTTTGTTACTAATTATTCATTAATTAAATTTAATTATTTCAATAAAATAGTATAGTAAAAAGAAATTAGGCCATCCCAGGTGGGATTCGAGCCCACGACTTTTGGCTTGGGAGTCCAATGCGGTACCCATTTCGCAGCATGGACACAACGAGCGATTTTCCTTTTTTTGTATGGAGTTAGACTATTTCTTTTGTTTGTTATTAATTATTCATTAATTAATGAATTAATATTTGAAAAAAACTGTATTAACATCAAGTGTCATCCTCTACAAGTTTAAAAAATGTATTTGAATTTGAATGGATAAAAACATGATGATATACTCAAGCCAAAGATTGTTTTTGACTTCAATCTAATTATGTGTGGTGTAGATCGTTGTGATCAGGAAAAATATTTTCATCCGACAATCCGAAACGCCAGAAAAATATTGTAAAGATATATATTTATATTTACTAGACAAGGAACTTTTGAACTCATTTTTGCTTTATAAAAATGTAGTTGGGAAACTTATTATATTTTTAGAATTTCGTATCCACCTTGTACAAGAATTTTTTTTTAATACAATGATGCAGCTTCTGAGATAAAAGAATCCTGGTAGACCACCTATAGCAGAAAATCCTTCCCGTCTTAGTGAACTCCAATTCTGCGAAACGTAAGCCTAACAAGACAGTGCAAAGTTTGTTGGTTAAAAAAAGGATGCAAATAGAAAAAAAGAGATAAGGAAGGAGATACGATTCTAGTGTAGTGCTTCTCAAACTTTCTATACTCGCGACCCAATTTTCAATCATAATTTTCAGCACGCTCCCCTTACATACAATAATAATGTATTGAATTCAATAATAATATACTTTGGTATAAATCTACACAATATGACTTTAATTATAAACCGTACAAATCATCAAGATAAGTTTTAAATTTGTATATAATTTAATGACGTGTCCATAGAGCCAAGATAAGTTTTAAATTTGTATATAATTTAATGACGTGTCCATAGAGCCACTGGTAATTATTAAACTTGTTCTTGAGTTAGTACTGTTAAATTAAATATGAAATATATGGTGCAGTACTGATACATTTATAAGTGTATAATATCAGTGTAAATGTGCATTTTATTTTTTTATTATGTCAGAAAGTATTATTTTTTCTGCTTCCTTTCAGTAAATTAATAATTTTTTAAAATAATGTTTGTTTTCGACTTTTCGATATACTCGCGCCCCCCTTGTAGGGTTATCACGCCCCTCTATGGGGCGCGCCCCACAGTTTGAGAAACACTGTTCTAGTGTAATGAGATTGCGGAGTTGTTTTGTGCTTGGAAAAGTGTTTCAAGTTATACCGCACAACATTGAATTACTGAACTAATAATACGTATTGATTATAATTTGTTTTTATTTTATTTTTCTTTTAGAAAATAATGCTCTTACCACTGCCACCTCAGATGAATATGCAGTTGCTACAAAACCTTAAAGATTTTTATGCATATAATTTAAATTATAATTTTTAACTACTAAGCGTATTTTATTTTGTACTAAACGTTTGATTTTTGCAATAAAAAGTTTGACAATTTATGTACCCAAATTATCAAAATAACTTGACAGTTAAAAGTTTATGAATTTTCAAGCAAAATTGCTTATTAAAACCTTGGAAAATCGAATAACGATTATTTTCATTGATATAAAAGATTATTTTTGAATAAAAAAGGAAAGGATGTTTATAACTGAAATTTGAATGATTAATAACAGTTGTTTGAATGAGGAAAACCTCAAAACAAAATGTCATCAAACTTACATTCAGAGAAAATATTCGAATATTTATACTTTAAATATGAATTTTTTACAAATGAGTAATACACTGTTCTGCTTTGTTATTTTTAAAAATAAAAATAAATAAATTTATTCAAACTAATACATTAAATTGCTTAAAGTAGCATAACAAAAATTGCAAACGTATTTTACGAGATCCTACGATTGAAAAATAAAAGCAGATTTTAATTTAAATAAAATTCGTAAACTAATTATTTAAAACATATATTCGTGGCTTTTTAGAAAGTTTATTTAATTGATTGATTTAATATCCTAACAAAATAATACACGCAAACTTAATGGCGATCAATCACACACACACACACACATGTGATGGGTTCAAAAAATAAAAAAAAAACTTTCTTCATAAATTGCTTTCTTAACATGTCTAGAATACGGTGGTACAGTGATTTTTTTTTAAAATTCGAAGTCGTTATAAAGAAGCAAGCGTTAGAAGAGCAGCTGTTCGTAGCGTTGTTTTTCATTGCTTTAATCGGACTTGAAGTTTTAAACGCGTTTTTCTCAAAACTGTGTTTCTCAAACTTTGCTCCATCATATCTCAAGAACGGTTTAAATGAATGACTTCAAATTTATGGAGTAGACTCAACACGTATATACGCACAAAATACACTATGATTATTCCAAAATTCAAAAATTATTTATTTTTTATAACAAAAAAACCCATGAAATTCGAAACTTTTTCTTCAGAGGTCTACCAAAAATCCAATTTTTGATATTTTCAATTGAGTGCAGCTCACATTCTGTACATTTAAGCTTATAGATTAAAACGCCGTTAATTTTGTTTATTTCAAAGAAACCAATCTGCCGGAATCGTGGTGGAAGAGGGCGTCCATTTTTTTGAGGTGGGCGTATTCAGAGTGCTATAACTCACTTTCTATTAGATATTTTTGGCTAAACATTTACATACATACTCTTAAAATACATACAAATAAATGATAAAAAAACTTAAAGTTCTATCTCTTTAATGGTCAAAAAAAAAAACTAATTCCCTAAGAATGCTTAAAAAACGGGCCGTCACACGGGTCAACCCCCTAAAAAATAAATTTGGCTATGAAATTAAAAGATTTGCACTGTTAAAAATTTCAAACCTGATCTTTATTTTTTTACGTGATATAATCATTCACACACTTTGCTCAAATGTGTTTTAAGTATTCTTCCTCTTACTTCTTGGCAAATGTTATTCATAGTTTTGTTTTACCGTTTTTTCACGTTTAAATGTCACGTTTTATAGCAAGTAAATCCTGTATTGCCAGATGTGCTGAAAAATCGTTTGCGTGCATTCTGGATTAGTTCAAACTTCACGTATGAAAAACCAGCCATATTTTAGAGTGGCTCCGTCTGGAAAGATGCGGTTTAATTCATTTTAATACGTGTCTAGTTTTCATTTGTGTTGAGAACTAAGTGACCAGTGATATTTATCGAATTTTAAGCTCGCTTAGTAGAAAAAGAGATAAAGCTTACATAGACTTGTTATACATATGATAAAAATACTCTTTCTATAGAAGGGTCACATGGATCTTCTATGATTTATTAAAAGACCGCCAAACACATGAGAGCGATTCATTGTACATCATTAATTATTATTTATTATATGTGTATATATATTCAAACGTCATTCGAAAGAAATTATCGTAAAAATTAAATAAAAAATTTAATTTGATGAGTGAATTTTGTGTTGATGTAATAACATTTTATTTTATTTTTTTCATAGCTAAGTGCTTTGAGAAATTACGATAACCAATTGTAAATGTTTGCGAGACATGGTTAGTGATGTCTCGCCCTGAGTTCGAGTCTAGATTCTACTGAAAACCTATCAGCATTGTTAATGTTTTTTTCCACTTTGATTGAAGCTAAAGAATTTTATATAAGTCTTCAAATGATATGGCAAGAAAGTTGAGGCCTCAGCTCAGAAGTTATTCTCGTTTTTTGAGGAAGTTCACAATCCTGTACTCAACAGTTAGTAGCCGTTGTATTACTCTAGAGTAGAACCCAGGGGCGTGGCTACCGTCGTATCAATGATACGGGGCCCCAGTTTATGTAAAGAAAACTTGTTAATATATTAAGGGACTTCCAAAAGGGTTTTCAAGAAATTTTGATACGGGGCCCAGTCAGGAATAGTTACGCCAGTGGTAGAACCGTACTTAAAATTTGCCGTTAATAAAACGTGTTTTCTATTTACAAATAAAAAATTCTGCTTACAAATATTTGTTGACCAAAAATGTTTCACAACTAGGCAACGGTTTATAATTACATTTCCTTTATGAGTAACACTAGATTATTTTCAATAATTCTAAAACTGATTTGTTGAAAAAGTAGTTATTCCAGCAAAAAAATTAATTTGACTAAATCAATCGAATCATTGACATCACTTATACATGCTAATAAAACTAAACAGAGATAGGGTTTCTTTTTTCAAAAAGGCCTCTTTAAAAGGTAATTTGTAAAATCATAGCTTTATAAATTCATAAAATATTGCTTTAATTTGTTGATAATCCAATTAGGTATTATTAAAATAGAAATATTTTCATTTAGTTTTAGAAATATTAATATTCTATTATTTTTAAAACTCCTTCATTCCAAGCATTATTTGACGGCAAGGCGAGCATTCTCACTTAATAACAGTGAAAACATACTAGTATAAATAAAATGTATAAGCTTACGGCAAATAATAAATTTAACTAAAACTAGGAATCGAGTCGTGAACAATTATGAATATTAATGAGCATTATATTATTTCATTTCATATTCATTATGGACATGAAAAGAAAGTCTCGTTCATATAATGACTGATATACACTAATTTCTCTATCAATACTTAGACCATTCAATTATTTAAAAAAGCTTGTGTATCAATAGCGGAACATTGATGACAAATGAAGGTTGAAACGTTGAACCTTGTCACTTTTCATCTTACATTAAACAGAAGTTTTGGTACTTCATTTTTCAAGCATTTAATCCACTCCACGGGTTAAAAAATCCTCAAGAACTAATTTTACATTGTTCTTTTTTCTCTTATGGGGCTGCGGATTGGTATTTCTACCTTTCCAGACCTAGTACATTCCCCAGGAGCTAGGTTTGCTTCTAAGCGCGGCACCATATAAGCGATACCAATAGCTGCAAGTAATTTTGACGCCCAGTTTATTCCCTAGAGGGAGGCACCTGAGCACTGCCGATGCGAAATTTGTACTTTGGAATTTAATTTTACCGAGAGCATCCAAACCAAACGGACACCCAAGAGATTTTTTTTTCATGCCGCGTAATTATACGACATGGCCGCTGCCGATTTCCTGCCTCATGAAAATCCACCGACTTGGGCCAGGGTCGAAC